GCCGGCTGCATTTCCTCTGAAATTGAGGCTCACGCTCAGGCGTTTCGGGGGTGCGCCAAAACCGGCCCCCCAACAACAACGTTCCGGCTCGATACTTCCTTTTTTACTCAGGCCCGGTGCTCTTGCTCGCCGCCGAGAGCCCGCTTCCCCACCAGACCGGCGCTCCGGCTCGATACTTCCTCCCCTTTTACTCAGCATCGGCTCTCTCTCTCTCTCTCTCTCTTCGGCTTCCGCAAGCGCCCCCCCCCCTACAACAACGGCGCTCCCGCTCGAGATTTTCTCATTGTTTACTCTAGACTGGGGCCCTTGTTTCGGTATCGCCTCCGGGGGGCTTCCAGATTCCCTGTGGAAGCCCTACTTCTTCCCTTTTTACGGCTCCCCTCTTCGGCTTCCGCAAACGCCCCCCCTACAACAATCCCTTTCGATACTTCCTTGCCTTTTGCGCAAGACTGGGGCCCTCGTTTCGGCATCGCCTCCGGGGGCTTCCAGATGCCTTGTGAAACCCAGCGCTCCGGCTCGATATTTCCTTCCCTTTTACTCAGGATCGACGCTCTCGCTTCGGTTTCCGCAAACGGCCTTCGTCGTCGTCGTCGTCGCCGCCGCCGCCGTCGCCGCCGCCGTCTCCTCCTTCTCCTCGTCCTGTGTCTTCCCTCACGTTTCCTTTTGTCTCCTCCTCGTCCCCGTCCTCCCCCTTGGTCCTCCCCCCCCTCCCCCTCCCCCCCCCTCCTTCCCAATATTCGCTCCTCCCCCTCCGTCGTCCTCCTCATCCTCCTCTTCCTTCTTCTCCTTCTCCTCCGCGAAGCAGGGCGCGGGCGAAGGTATTTCGAACGCTATTGTCTTTCCAAGCTGAGTAGTTTGAGGTTCCTCGGAAGAGGTGTTCGCGAGATTTCCTTGGGCGGGAGTTCTGGGTATGGGTATATCGGACCCCCCTGCGCCAGGGAAAAAATCCCCCCGAATGGGGATTGTTATCATGATGGAGGCATGTGGCATGTGGAAGCATGGCGCATGAGGGTAAAGTGATTGTTGTTGTTGTTGTTGTTGCTGCTGCTGCTGCTGCTGCTGCTGTTGTTGTTGTTGTTGTTGTTGTTGTTGTTGTTGTTGTTGTTGTTGTTGTTGTTGTTGTTGTTGTTGTTGTTGTGTGTGTGTGCGTGTGTGCGTGTGTGTGTGTGTGTGCGTGCGTGCGCGCGCGCGCTCGCGTGCCCACTCTTGTGCGTGATCCCAGACCCCCGACGTCGTTGTCGTTTTTGTTTTTGGTTCGCAGCGTGGGCCCTCCGGATGTCTAGACCGCTTCCCCAGGACCGGCCTTTCATCCCGAGCCGTTTTTCCCTGACTAGGCTCTGCCTAGAAGGGTTCTTACTCCTTGGCTTAGAGGGGCTGGGCAGTGCAAGCCGTCCCGGGCGGTTCCCCCAGTCCCCTGGGAGCCAAGCAAAAGCAACAGCAAAGGTAAAAGCAAACGCGCGGTTCCCCCAGTTGCGCTCCCTGGGTGCCAAGCAAAAGCAAAAGCAAAGGCAAAAGTGAAGGCACAAGCGAAGGCAAAGCAAAAGCATGGCATAGTATATCATAGCATAGCATCGCGCAGCATAGCACAGCGCAGCATAGCATAGCATATCATAGCATAGCATAGCCTAGCCTAGCCTAGCCTAGCTCAGCATAGCATTGCGCAGCATAGCGTAGCATAGCAGAGCAGAGCAGAACATAGCATAGCAGAGCATAGCGCAGCACAGCATCCACTATTGCTGCTGCTATATGTATAAATATACTTATATATATATGTGTGTGTGTGTGTGCGCACGTGTGTTCCATGCATGTTGTCCGTCAGTGGGCCATCTTGAGTCCTTAGTGGGGCAGCTTGAGCCCTTAGGATTCGCGAAGGTTTCGCACATAGCACCGGCCGGGAGACATGAAACCCGACGTATTATCGCATGTCCTAAATGTTCCAGCGCCGATGATGCCCGCCGAAACAGTGCTGAAACAGCTTGTTGCACCGATCTGGGAGTTGCTGCTGCTATACAGTTTCGTAGGAACGTTCGGTGTAGCAAGTGTTGCACAACCTTGCTCAATGCCAAGTCGTGCGGTGTAGGCCGGATCCGGAGCATTCTCAAGCACACCCGGTGAGCGAATGCAGAAACATGCGTGTGTGTGTGTTTGTGCGCAGGCCAAGCAAAAGCACAACCAAGCAAAAACAACATCAAACACAAAACAAAAACAACAGCAACAACAAAAACAATAACAAAGGCAAGGGAAACATCAAAGGCAAGAGTAGAAGCAGAGGCAATGCAACTCAACTGCAAAACCAATGCGAAAGTGTAGATGTATATGTAGATGTAGATGTAGGTGTAGGTGTAGATGTGGATGTAGGTGTAGATGTATATGTAGATGTAGATGTAGGTGTAGATGTAGGTGTAGATGTAGATGTGAGTCTCGCTGTTGATGTATTTGTAGATGTAGATGGAGGTGTAGATGTAGATGTAGCTGTAGGTGTATATGTATATGTAGGTCTAGATGTAGATGTAGGTGTCGACGTATATGTAGGTGAATATGTAGATGTCGATGTACAGAACTCCCCAGTGCCCCGCCCTCATCTCCGTGCCTGCCTGTTTTTGCTGCTGTCGCGGCGACTTGATGCCCGCTTCCGCTGCTGCTTCACTTACGGCGTGGCGTCGGCGCTACTATTACTATTACTACTACTACTACTACTACTACTACTACTACTACTACTACTACTACTACTACTACTACTACTACTACTACTACTACTACTACTTACTACTACTACTACTACTACTACTACTACTACTACTACTACTACTACTACTACTACTACTACTACTACTACTACTACTACTACTACTACTACTACTACTACTACTACTACTACTACTACTACTACTACTACTACTACTACTACTACTACTACTACTACTACTACTACTACTACTACTACTACTACTACTACTACTACTACTACTACTACTACTACTACTACTACTACTACTACTACTACTACTACTACTACTACTACTACTACTACTACTACTACTACTACTACTACTACTACTACTACTACTACTACTACTACTACTACTACTACTACTACTACTACTACTACTACTACTACTACTACTACTACTACTACTACTACTACTACTACTACTACTACTACTACTACTACTACTACTACTACTACTACTACTACTACTACTACTACCGCTACTGCTACAACTACGACGATGAAGAGAAGGAGGAGGACTGCGTTTACCGATCCTACTAAGGATGCTTTCCTAGAGGCTCCAACTCCTAGGTAGGGTCGCGCTGGGATAATTTGACGGTCCCGGGGCCCGGCGAGGGTCCCCAGAGGTCGAGACTCGCCGAAAATCGTCCGTAATGATTTTTCATGGCCCGAGGGGTCTGAGATTGGTGCGCCCGCGCGATCGCCGCCAAGAGAGCTTGCGCAGCGGTGCGCGGCTCGCGCACGTGCCGCCGAGGAATCGCGGCGTCCTCACGACCGCGCGCGCTCTCTCTCGAGCTGCTCGCCGCCACCGCCTTCTGCCCCCGCTGGAAGGTCCCCGGGGGCCTCCCCGGGGTCCCCGCAGGCCCCAAGACGTGCCCAGAGGCCCATTGACCTCGATGCTTGCTTGGTCGTCTGCAGTGAGGGAGCTGAAGCAAGGACTGCTTCGGGCTCAAGGGGGCTCCGTTTTTTCGGCCGTCCCGTACATGTGGGTCGGGGGGCCTATTCGTGACTGAGGCTCGCCGCGGCCAGAAAAGCTCCGTCACTCCGTACCCAGCGCTCCCTTTGGCAGCGCGATGATTGCGCCCCCCCCAGGCCCCAGCAGCAGGAGGCCTCCAGAGGAGGCATCCAGGGGCCTCTGGAGGGCCAGAGAGGGTCCCAATCGCGCGGAAACCTCGACCCGAAGCCTCGATCCTCCATCCCCCCTTCCCTCTTCGCCCTCCCCCTTCCATCCTCGCTCTCCTCCTCCCCCTCGCCGTCCTCCTCCTCCTCCTCCTCCTCCTCCTCTTCCACTCTTGGAGCCCTTTTGGGGGTCTTGCGTCCCCTCACTGCTTCCTCCTCTGTCCTCACTTCCTCCCATTTCCAACCTCTCCCCTCCTCCCTCCCTCCCCCCTCCTCCCCCTCCTCCTTCCCATCTGTTCCCCAATTAGAGCTTGCTCTGTAGGGGTCTTAGCGGATTCATATTGTTGTGTTAAGGGGTGACGCCGATTTTGGCGGCACGCGCGGGTGCCCGGGTGCCCGGGTGTCCCGGGTGCCCCGGGAGCCCTATAGCCCTATAGCCTTATAGCTCCACAGCCTGATAGCCCTATGGCCCTATAGCCCTATAGCCCTATAGCCCTATAGCCCTACAGCCCTATAGCCCTGATAGCCCAGATAGCCCTGATAGCCCTGATAGCCCTAGAGCAGGGTAGACCTTGCCCAATAGCCCTATAGCCCTATAGCCTTCTAGCCCTATAGCCCTATAGCCCTATAGTCCTATGGCCCTATAGCCCTATAGCCCTATAGCCCCATAGCCCTATAATCCTATAGCCCTATAGCCCTATAGCTCTATAGCCCTATAGCCCTATAGCCCTATAGCCCTATAGCCCTATAGCCCTATAGCACTATAACCCTATAACACTATAGCCCTATAGCCCTATAGCCCAATCGCCCTATAGCCCGTATAACCCTAAAGCCCTATGGCCCTTAGCCCGTATAGCCCCATAGTCTTACAGCCCCATAGCTTTATAGGCCTATAGCCCTATAGCCCTATATTTCTATATGCCATCGCCCTATAGCCCTAGCCCTATAGCCCTATAGCCCTATAGCCCTATAGCCCTATAGCCCCGTAGCCCTAAACATATTATGATTGGTGTGTCTCTCTGGTATCATGTTCTGTGGTCCCCTCGATGCAGCAGTAGCAGTAGCAGTGACGGCAGCAGCAGAGGCAGCCACAAAGTATCAGCAGCGGCGACAGCCTTAGCCATGGCAGCAGCGACAGCCGTAGCCGTAGCTCCCGAGGACGGCCACGGGGTCTTCAGGTGGCCCGACGGCCGCCGCTTCGAGGGCCAGTGGAAGGACGGCAGGCCGCCTCCCCCCCGGTCGGAGCGGGCGGAGGCGGATGCCGTGCGTCCTCCGTTGCTCCCTCCTTCCTCCCCCTCGTCCCTCCACCTCACTCCCCGTCCTCCCTCCGCCCTCCCTCCGCCCTCCCTCGCTCCTCCCTCCTTCCTTTATCCTCCTCTCTCCTCCCTCCACCTCACTCTTCCCTCCTGCCCCCTCCTCCACCCGAACGAGGGGGAGGACAAGGGTGGCGATTATGATGATGCTGGTGCTGATGCTGATGCTGATGCTGATGCTAATATAGTTGTTGATGATGATTATGATGGAAAGATAACGCTGATGATGCGGATGATGGTGATGATGAGGATATGATGCTGATGCTGATGATGCTTATGATGATGTTGATGATGATGCTGCTGATGATGATGATGGAGATGAGGATGATGCTGATGATGATGCTGATGCTGATGCTGATGATGCTGATGATGATGCTGATGATGATGCTGATGATGCTGCTGATGATGGTGGTGGTGATGATGCTGCTGCTGATGATGCTGATGACGATGATGAGGATGCTGATAATGCTGACGCTGCTGCTGATGGTGGTGGTGATTAGGATGATGCTGATGCTGATGATGGTGCTGATGCTGATGCTGCTGCTGATGATGATGCTGATGCTGGTGATGATGATGGTGGAGATGAGGATGATGCTGCTGAGGATGCTGATGCTGATGCTGATGATGCTGATGATGCTGATGATGCTGATGATGATGCTGATGATGCTGCTGATGATGGTGGTGGTGGTGATGATGATGCTGATGCTGATGCTGATAATGCTGATGACGATGATGAGGATGATGATGCTGACGCTGCTGCCGCTGATGGTGGTGGTGATTAGGATGATGCTGATTCCGATGCTGCTGCTGATGCTGCTGCTGATGAAGATGATGCTGCTGCTGATGATGATGGCGATGACGATGACGATGACGATGACGATGGTGATGATGATGATGCTGATGACGATGATGATGATGCTGAGGCTGATGATGATGATGATGATGATCATCATCATAAGGAGGATGATGATGAGGATGATGATGATGATGGAAAGGAGGAGGATGAGGAGGAGGATGAGGAAGAGGCGGGGGCGGAGGCGGAGGAGAAGGGTTGGAGAAGGAGGAGGAGAGCAAGGACGAGGACGAGCAGGTGGAGGATGACGATGAAGACGCGTAGGAGGAGCATGATGAGGAGGAGGCGGAGGAGGAGGAACAGGATGATGATGATGCTGCTGATGATAAAGATTATGATGATGATACTTGTGATGATGATGACGATGATGATGATGATGATGATGATGATGATGATGATGATGGTGTGAATGATGATGATGATGATGATGATGATGATGATGATGATGATGATGATGATGATGATGATGATGATGATGATGATGATGCTGATGATGATGATGATGATGATGATGATGATGATGATGAGAAGGATGATGAGGTGGCCGAAGATGATGATCAGTACGAGTACGATGAGGACGAGAAAGCGGATGATGAGAGGGAGGAGGACGGAGAGGGGGAGGAGGATGAGCATTATGCGTAAGCGTATGAGTATCAGTATGAGTATGTGTTTGCATATGGGCATGGGTATGCGTATGATTATGAGTATGCGTATGATTTTGAATATGGACATGATCACGATCACGAATCTGAGTATGCGTGTGAATATGAGTACGGATATGATTATGATGCTGCTGATGATGATGACGATGCTGATGACGAGGATGATGTTGATGATATCATGATGGAGACGCTGCTGCTTATGATGACGATGCTGCTGCTGCCGATGATGATGCTGGTAATGCTGATGCGACAACGCGATGATGTTGATTGTGATGCTGGCGCCGACGATGCTGCTGCTGATGATGACGATGTTGTGATTGGTGGTGGTGGTGGTGGAAGTGTGATGAGGATGCTGTTGTTGGGTGCTGATGCTGTTGATGATGCTGCTGATGATGCTGATTCTGCTGCTGATGATGATGATGATGCCAGCCATGATGATGATCATGATGCTGCTGATGATGATGATGATGATGCTGATCATGCTGATACTGCTGATGATGCTGCTGCTACCGATGCTGATGCTGACGATGCTGCTGATGATGATTACCATGATGATGCTGATGGTGATGATGGCGATTATGCTGCTGATCCTGACGATGCTGATGCTGATGATGATGCTGATGATGCCGATGCTGATGCTGATGCCGATGATGCCGATGCTGATGCTGATGCTGATGATGACGATGATGATGCTGATGCTGCTGATGATGCTGATGATGCTGATGATGCTGATGATGATGATGATGATGATGATGATGGTGGTGATACTGATGATGGTGGTGATGATGATGATGATGATGTTGATACTGATGCTGACGCTGATGATGATGCTGATGATGATGATGCTGATCATGATGATGCTGCCGCTGATGACCATGATGACGCTGATGCTGAT